CTGGGTGTCGCATCACATGTCGGAAATATTCTAATTTTCGTTTTTTAATTGTTTTGATGATTTCCCTTGGCTTTCCCAAGTCTAACTGCAGAGTCCTAACATAGAGTTATTGAAATACAGTAAGCAACATATGATTTGTACACATGAAGAAATTAGAAGAATTTTAAAATATTGATTATAATCTATTCCAAGTATAATGATTGTTTTTTGCAAATCCTTTTTGCTAGCAGGATGTGAAAATCCTTTGAAATAAGGCTACAATATTGCCAGTTCTTCAATCTGTACTATATGAACAGGTCTACTGATAAACATGCCCCCTTACTAACCATATCTAGTGTATGATAATGGGACTTGGAGCTGGTTTACAGTTGATTTTAGCCACTGAGCAGGTCCCTAGGCAAAGTGTTACCAGTCAGCCCAAAATTCCACTGTGTACATGGATTTGTACTTTCTTTCTTCTTTAGAACTAAAGCAAGTATATTAGGTTTTAGAAAAGACAAAAGAATAGATATTCTTCTGGTGTAGCATTTCTCAATCTCAGCAACTTCAAAATGTGTGGAATTCTGGGAGCTGAAGCACACACGTCTTAAAAGTTGCCAAAGTTGAGAAACACTGCTCTAGAGAGCTGAGCTGGATTCAATTTTCTTTTCTGCCAAAGACTTTGGCAAGTCTCTCTTGGCTTCTTTAATCAATTGATTGCTGATGGAAGCAAGTTGTAAAAGCCATGAGAATCACTTCTGCAAATCAAAAGTGGCAACCTATTACAAAAAAACTGTAATAAACTGTACTCATGTTAATACCTTCATATACTGCTGGCTGGACATTATCAGATTAGTTTCATTTAGTTCATTCTACATTTAAAAGGAGTCAGCACCGAACAGAGAGATTATAAAAATGCTATGAAGGAACACTTGGGGGTCAAAGGAAATACATTATCTAATATAGCAGCCCTCACTTTAATTGCCCACCAGGTGTTTCTCATTACAATTCCTTGAATATCATACCAACACGGATGTTGCACAGAAGCTGTAATGCAAAGCAGCAGGCACAAGAGTCTAAGTTCAGGAACAATGGACCACCAGAGGGAGTAAGTGTGGCACTTTATGTAATATTAAAATTCAGCAGATAAAAAGATGCAGCCAGTTGGGGAAGGGAAAATTCATTGCTTTCCCCATATTGTCAGGACATTCTCAGTTTGCCATCAAACACAGAAACTGGTGTGTGTGTGTGTATGTGGGTATATATGCATATATCTGGGCATTCTTGGTGGCTGGTGCAACAGGTAACATTTTAGGAAGGACCAATGGCCACAGCAGATTTGACAATGATCAAGGTAAACTATGTAGTATCTTTAACCGATTAGGCCAGGATTTTCCATTTTTTCCCTGGATTTGAAAAGTGTTTGAAAAATGTATTGATTTGAAAACTATGCTAAGCTTAAGACATATATAAAATTATGTGTATTTTCTGGCCCTCAATGGTAAAAAACTAAATTGATGATTTCAGTAACATTATATAATTTCTATATTATCCTTCTTCCCAGAGAACCCCCTTTTAGAAAAGGAGGGGGAAATCTTATGTAAAATCTACAGTGTCTAAGAATGTAATATTCTTCCTTCTCTTTTTCACATCTCCACCAGCAAACATAAAGTAACCTGATTCTGAAGTACTATACCCCATAAATGCATAAGCATAGGGATTAGTTGAGTATCTCTTGGAGGCTTCTATAATCAAGGCATTGCCAATAGAAAGTCCTACTTTAAGCTATTATACTGTGAATCAAACTTGCTAATGGGACAACAAACTAAATGAGAGAGATGATGAGCATTTAGACTGCAAGGTACCTTACAGATTAATATAACACCTTAAGTTAGGCCTATTGGCAACCAGTGCGGTGCTTGTAGGATTGATGTTTTGTGGTTCTATTCAGCCACTCCACTAGCAGGGATAATGCAACTAAAGCATTCTGTACTAATGGCAGCTTCTAGATCATCTCTAGCCTCAAGTAAATGTACTGCAGTAATCAAATCAAGCAATGATTACATCATAAATCAGTCAGGCTAGATTGTGTAGGATGTTAGTTGGTGTAAGAACCAATCTTTGCATGGAAGTTTTTTGCTATTTAGGCTAGCTGTGTCTCTATTGACAGATGAGAATCAAGAGAATTGGCTAAGCCACATACCAGTACTCGCTCTGGAAGACAGCTTCAGGAACGTATGCTGCTGTCAATGGACTTTGTCGTGGATCTATGGTCATGGAATAGAACCAGAACACAAAAACAACTATTGTCTCTTATAAAAGGATAAGGGGTTTCTAAGACTGATATCAAGCTTTATGCAGCTAGGCATGGTCAAGAATGCAAGAACTATACAAATTTCAGTAAGGTATTTTCACTGGTAGATTGGGATAAATTTTTGGAAACTTTCAGAGGAATTATCTACCCCTCCATACAGTGAATTAATTAAGGTAGGATCTTTTTGAGTGATTTGAAATACTTCTTCTGAGGCTTTTTTTCATCTGGGCTGAATGACAATGCATCATACAAATATCAACTAATTTGTGCTCTTTCTCTTGTTGATTAGGTCTATTCTCTTTTGCATTCCTTTCTCAGCCTCCCCATAATTTTCCTTTCCTGATTCACATGAAAAAATAGAGCTGAATGTTACTGATGGCAATACTGATGAACTCCAGATTTCTTGATCTTCATGTACATAGGTAGACTTTTAACAGTAGTGAAGAATAAAATTTGTGATACCGCCAAAGCTCAAGGATCATAGGTCTAGATTAGATTAAAAACCTCCAGCTGCCATTTTTTTTTGTTGGTAGGACTGCAGAGAGGAACCCCCCCCGCCTTTGATTTGATGCCTTTAGATGACATAATCAGTGATATAAAAACAAGGAAACTCAATATGTTAGAATTTTCCATGTCTCCCTCCTGAGAAGTTTAATCGGTCAGGACATTTGATGCTAAACCCAGGCCCTAAACTGTTCTGAAATGGACCTTATTATCTTCTCCAGAATCTAGCTCAAAATTTGCAGCTGAGTATTTAAAGCAGCTTTGGAATCAATGAAAATGTGACATGAGCTATGTGATCATTTGGGGTTTGGTTTGGTTTGGTTGCTCAATTCTGTCTTATGGAGAACATATGTCACCAAAATCTAAATGATTGAATATGCTACTTCCCATATGTAGGATACATGCTGTACTGCTGGCTTGTAGATCCTCCCTTCAGAAAGATAAATGCCATACCTTGAAGCTGATTTCAAGAAAAGCTCCCTTTTCCCACCTTTTCCCGTTTCACTGAGATTGTTTCAATTGGGTACTCCCTGCCCCACCCTCATTTTGTCAATTAATGCAAATAAAAAACCCTCCTGGACTGGATTTCTTCTGCAGAAATATGCTTACATCTTTTCAAAACAGAATAAGTGACAGATCAGAAGATATGTGTGTGTTGTGTGGACAAACGTTCTGCTGTCTATCTATCCATTACTGAGGCTACTTTCTCAAGTGAAACAACATGAAGTTTTATGCTACATTGGTTCCTGCCAATAGCCCTACTATTTGGCAGCAGTAGATAGCTAGTTGGACAAAGTGGATGGTATGCACATCCAAGTGGAAATGACCAAGGGTAGCTTCCAAAGCAGCACACAGTCCTGAAAACAGACATGACTGGGATTCAAGTACTGTAATCACACTCCAAAACCATCATGGATACAATGAGATAGTTACTATATCATCCCTTTGACATCATGAAAGGCGCTTAATTCCAGTTTTTTAAATAATTATGAAGAATCTGGGATGCTTAAAACTGAGGAATCCACTGATTATATTCAAAGTTCAACTGATTTCATAGTTTAGTTCAGATACATCTAAAACTCTTGAATTATTTCTGCACAAAAATGCATTTTGTGTGTGTTGAAATTTGTACTATTTTAAGTAGACAATTGAATGTACAGTTAATGTATCTGTGAGCTGATGCTGTGCACTGATGTTACCTAATTGGGTAATAAAATGTCTGCAAGCAAGCAACCAAGCTCAGAGAACACAAGGATTTTACATTTGAACTCTGAGCTACCTATTATATTATATACCTATTATATTCTCTTCTATTACTTAATATGTCCATTCATTTATTTAGAAAAACTTTGGAATAAAGACTTGGAAAAACCTGTGAAAACAAAACAAAAATTAAAGGTTTGAATGATCTCATAGAGATTGATTCAAGAGAAATTCCTCCCTCATTAGACATCTCATAGAATGTTTAAAAATGTCTGAGGGTTAATTTTATATGCTAGAAATGTAAAATGATGGCCATGATTTATGAAAATGATAACAAGTTTTTCTCACCATTGCTGGATTTTGACTTAGTATCCAGAAATATGTTGTTATAGCCCAAAATTTTAGATTTTTGTCATCATACAATGAACTATAGATTTTCTAAGTATAGGCATAGCATATTTTCAATATGGACAGTATTACCATGCTGTACAGCAACCTAGTTAGTGGTGGGATTCAGCCAGTTCGCACCACTTCGGCAGAACCGGTAGCTAATTTTTTGTTGCCCAGGCCCAGAATGGACTTCCGGAAGCAACATCCACACAGAGAACTGGTTGTTTACATATTTGAATCCCACCACTGCACTTAGATGAGATGAGCAGTATATAAGTTTAATAAAAAAGTAAATAAACTTACCTCAAACAATATGTGTCTATCTGTTATCAATGTAATATAATATGTGAGATCAAGGTTTAATAATGAATTTTAAAAACAACAAATAACAACAAATAAATGGGTTATCTATTATTACTGGTTGTGTGATTCTGCCCTTTTATGCCAACGTTTTATTATTTCTGTATGATATCAATTCTAAAAAGGTATTCATTACATTGATTAACTATGCATCTTAATGTTTCAAGAACCGCCATATATATAGGCAATTTTATTTTTAGCATGCCTCAACCACAGGTTATGACAAATTTTTTTGAAGGTATGATAGCTATTAATTTTGCCCGGGGTCCATCCAAGAAGCTCAGGGCAGTTTAGGTGATTTAATTTGCAAGGTTGGCTAAGACCCCAGGCAGTAAGGAGGCCTATGGTCACCAAATGAGCGCCTCTTGTGAAGATGCTGGTCTACTGCGCTGTTCCCGACCCTCCACTTTTCTGTCCTCGCCCCTCCGGCTGCGACCTCTCCATTACACCTGTCCCGTTTTCCGCAGGTTGCCCAGCGCGCACGCGCTGCCATTTCTTGCTCTTGCTCTCGCCCTCTCCTCGCCCCGGGCGTCCGCCACCCTGTCCTTGCCCGGGCAGCTGCGCCCCTCTCCCCGTCCGCGGGCTCCCAGCGCCAAGGTCCTGGCAGCGCCCTCTGCCGATCGCTGGCGCTGACGTGTGGCCATGCCGACCACTCCCTCCCCAGTCTCCGCCCGCACGTTGTCAGAGCCGGGAAGCCGCCGTAGCGCTGCCGTCTCCTCAGCCTTTGCTTCTTGCCGGTAACTAGAGCACGAGCCGGGCGCGCTCCTTGCCTTGCTGTCCGGGGCGGCCCGCGCCATTATGTCTGGTGCCGTCCCGCTCCTCTTGCTGCTGCTCTGCTTGGCCCAGCGCCGCGTCTCCCTCGCCGGGCCCACCGCTTCGTCCCTGGAGACCGCGGCGGACCCCTGCCTCAGCCAGCCCTGCAAGAACAACGGCACCTGCTCGCCGGTCTTAGCCAAACTGCCCGCCGCGCCCCACCGCCTGCCGTTGCTTTTTCTTTCGCCTCAGCCTGCTTATAGCTGCCTCTGTCGCCCGGGGGTCACCGGCACCGAATGCCAGGTAAACCGGGGAGTCAGGCGCCTTTCCTTGGGGGATCTTGTGGTCCATCGGTCCGAGCCTTGCGAGCGCTCGCCTGTCCTTATTCATCTCCGCCTTCTTCCGTTTGTCTCTCGGACGTCTTTTCGGTCCATCTCCTGCCTCCACGCCTCGGACTCCATCGGCCCGTGCTTTCGCGGATTCTTCCTCTTTCCACCCCTCCTATCAACCCCCCCCCCCACCCCGTAGATCGCGTAGTGATTTTGGTTCGCTCCGCAACGGTGATCTTCCTTGGCAGTCGCCCTCCAGGCGGTGGCTCTGCACTGCTTTGCACTGGTCCCTAAGTGTGATTTGAGTTCCTTGATGTAGAATCCTTATCTGACCGCTCTCATTTCGGTTTCTACCTCCGATTCGGGCACACGACTCTTTTGTGCAATCATCTACAGTGGCCCCTTTCTTGTGAGGGATCACTCATCTGTTAACCACACCGAGCAGACCTCTATGTGGAACCAAGTCCCATGGCCTTCACACATAAGCACTAACAAGGGCAAATGCTTGAGTGCTGAACTTGAAGGGCGTATTCTGTGCATTCATGAAAAAGCTTTCCATTACCACCCTTCCTATGTAAATTATTTTGCAACAGATAAGAAAACCGTTCTAAATGTGATTAATGTAACCTTGGTTATTTTTTATGGCTTTTCATATTATGCAAACCCTGGACTCACTTTATGATTCATTGTGCTGTGTGAATCAGAAAATGGGTTAATTAAGTTAATCAGGTTAAACATTTTGTGTGAAGGCAGCCGTGTATTTCTAAGAGATGCCGTTGAAGATGCTAATTTGAGCTCTTTTTGAACTGGGGTTGTTAAAATGACAGTTACAGAAGTGCCTTCCAGGATACCTATTGCAAATTGTTGGTTGACAGGATTCTGTTCTGCTCAAGGTTAAAAGTATTTTAAAGCTTAATGATGTTTTCCAACACAGTCTTGGTACTTTCATATATGGATTTTTTTTTCTAGTGATGAATATACTAGTGATTTTTGTCACTAATAGCCAGATGAGGACTTGTTCACAGACTTTGGGTAATCATATAATTTCCCATTTTTATTGGAATTAAAATAGGTAAGTAAAATCAAATCTGTATTTTAGTATGAAGAATACAACTGTTGCTAACAACTGTTATGAAATGTTCCGTCAATCCAGTTTGGTCTGGGAAAGAAAACAGCTCATTTGTTTGTGGTCTTTAAAATGGTGCATTGATATTTGTCTTTCATTCTTTCTGAGGAAAAAAGATGATGATGATGAACAGAATGATGATGGTGGTGATGATGATGCATTTGGTTATAAAATAAGGCTGTAATGGACTACATTCCTGTGCATGTTTATTTGGAAATAATTTCATAAAACTAATAGCTTTTATTTCTGCGTAATTATGCATAGGCATAGGTTGCTAATCAGTGACGCTAATTTTACCACACTAAATTTACTGAATATTTTTAACATGGCAAAAAGGTTTGTAATTGTTCTCTTTCCCCCTTCCTCCAATATTACATAAGATGTTGCAAATATGAATACAGAGATGAGAAAAGAACAAAAGGTTACAGTGTGAAATACTGAAAATTAAAGACTCTATGAAAGAACTTGGGAAAAAAAGTTCTGCATTTTATGTCACAGTGCCCCTCTTTCTGTAGTGCAAGTTTATGGGAGGCTGGATCAAACTGAGGAGAAATAAAGGAAACTCTTTTAACCAAGTGAATCTTGTAAATTAGGTGTTGACTGTTCCTAGGTTTCCTTCTGTGCTGGAAGAAAGAGAGTGTTGTATGAATTATGCTGCCTTCTGCAAGTTAACAAAGGTAAATTGCTATTTTAAACACCAGTAAAGTGTAATGTCTAGAAAAGAGAGAACTGCAACTGGAGATACATTTTAGCCATTTATTTCCACTTTGTTCAATTTTCATTATTGTATACTTTTATATAATTAATTCTAAATGTTATTGCATGAAATAATTAAAAACTGCAAAACACTAATAAGTATATTTAAATTGTTTTGTGCAAGAATTAAGATTATGTCTGATTTGATCAAATTGGATTGATTTTCTGTACTGTTGGAAAATTGAATTATCAAACTTTCCAGCAAAACACAAAGCCTGATTTTCCCAGTGAAACATTCCTGTCACCTTGATCAGGTGGTGAAATGAAGGAGATACGGTATGTGAGGCCTTTGGAAACACCACAGAGCAACCAACATAACTATAGGTCTTCCTAGAACTTTTTGTCATCCATGATTTCAGCCTTTTTATTGCTTTTGGTCTTTGTAGTTTCTTATTTCCCAACAAAGACACAATTACAATTTTATTTATTTATCCTACTGTAGGTCATGACAATATATACAGAGTTCCCTCTTTCATTTTCTTCATAACAACCCTGTGAGTTTGGTTGGGCTGGGAGAGGGACTATCTCCAAAGTAATGTGATGAGTTTCCTCCATCTTGATGTGTGGAGACAGTCTTCAGATGGTGGAAGCTTTCTTGCTAGATTTGGAAGTACTTCTAAAAGCATTTCCTCCTGCTAGTCACTCCATGAAATTTAAAATGTATATGATTTTAGATTATATAATACAATTGTAAGCATCATCAGAAATGCTTTTTGTTGCACTCCCCCTCCTTCTCCCCAATATTTACACCTAGGCTTGTGATTTTGAGAAAGGATTGAAAACCACCATATTGAATCAACACCAAGAAGAAATAATCATGGATGACAAACTAACTTTCTAACAAAGGTGGATCAAATTGGTTATAAACTAATTTTTGTTTTTCAGTGAAATGCTAAGGAAGAAAGATTTATTTTCCACTCTCGATAGTTTGATTATAAAAATATTAAATACATTTGAATTATTTTGTGTTTTTAAAATATACGTTCCCATCTTCCTATCTTTCCTTTAAATCGTAACTTAATATTTGAACTTGTAGAACAGAATGTTTACTATGTTTTCTATGTCTTGGCAATGTTAATTAACTTCTGAACATGATTTTGAAAGGCTGCCCTTAAGGGTTAGGTGTAAAACTAAGCAGTTCAGATTGTCTTTATGGCAAATAAAGTGTCCTTCTGTTTATGCATCATGAATTATATAAATGCTTAGAAAAGGTTCTTTCTTTTTAAAGGTACTCAAAAAATCTATTGAATCCATTGAAAAGGCTGCTTTGCATAATTTACAGGTCATTACTCTGTAAATTGTTTGCTTCAAGAAATACTTCAAGAGTTTCAAACACTATGATTTGCCTTCCTGTGTTTGTAGTTGTTGAAAGGCCTTGAGAAAAGCTTTGTGATGAAATTATTAACAAAAAAAAATGAATTCAATACATCCAAGTGTTTTAATGTTCTATTTTCTTATTTATTTTTCTCTAAGAAATAATTTCCCTTTTTCTATTACGCCTGCTATCATATCAGTAGCATAACAAAATACATGCTTTACAATGTGTCATAGACTTCTACAGTAGATCTATTACAGTACTATATATCGAGTAATCAATACTGCTTATACAGCTATCATGTGAATCATTCTTATTATGCACTTCACCAATTCATTCAGAATTTTTAGAATGGATATTGGTCACATAAAACATGAAGTTTAAAGAGGCTGCTTTAATACACAAATTATTTTCTTTAAACTAATAGATAAAGCAGATTTTTGAACAGGTAAGAATTCTATCTTGCAGAGTGGAATATATTATGATTGGTGATCTACTAATTGTAGAAAAAATAAAAATGGACCTCAAAAACGAGGGAAGGCTTCTAAAATTTTTTGAAATGCCAATAGAGAACCAGAACACTTATTAGGATGCATAAATTGCTAATCAATTATGGGCCAGAACAAATAAAAAAATTGCATGATAAAATGGATGCAAAAGTGTAAATAAACAGTAACATCACGATAATGAAGGCAATTATGGAACAATTGTATAAAATTTGCTCTAAATTATAATATTAGGGAAAACTGATATAAAATTGTTATAATTGTTATATAATTCTATTAATAATCACCAGGAAAGGCATGTTGGAAATGTCATAAGACACAAGGAACATTTTATTTTATGCAGTGAACATGTAAATAAAATCTCAAAAGTACTATAAAGGAATTTACAGACTATCCAGAGAAATTTTGATATCAAATTTGAAATGAAACCAAAATTCTTCTTAGTAAGCATAATTCCAAAACATATTAATAAAACATATCACTTTATTAAGATACATATATATGGTATCAAGGATAAATTTAGCACAGCATTAGAAAAGATATACATTACTAAAGAGCTCAGAATAGGAATTGAAACTTGGACAATATGCAGTGATGGCAAAATTAATTGGATCATCATGAGTGGATTTGGATCTTTCATGCCTGATAGCAGGAGATGAGCAAAATTTGGCCTGTTTAATATTTGGATAAGAGATTACCAGAGATAACCAGAGCTCTAGGAAAGATTAAAAAATAATTCAGAAGCCAGCAGTAACCATTTTCATACTGTTATGGCTTTGTCCATAAATTTATCAAAGTTGAGTTTGACTTGAAGTAAACATTTATATTTATGCTTGATATGTTGTTTCTGGACTTTGGCTCAAACCTATTTTGTTGTTTATAAGTTCATTAGTAGATTATACTAGACAGCTCATGTCCCATTGGGTCATCGTTTCAGAGACATTTCTTAAACAGAGAAACAGGATGATCTAGGTGGACCAAAAAATCAGTGGGAGCAAGAGCAATTTTCAACTTCCTGCTGGCTTCCCCATTGAGTTTTCTTGTAGGAATCTGGTAGGGAGCATTGGAAATCCCCTCCCCTCCTGCCCCTTCCTTTTCCAGCAGTCAGGCAAGTGGTTACTGCTGAGTGGGAAGGAGTGAGGGATTGTGAGACTGGCTGGGAAACTGTCATGGGATGTTGAAAATGAAGATCACATGACTGCAGTGGCAGTCAGCAGAGTAGCAGCAGCCACTGATATTCAAGCAGCCACATCTTTCCCAAGTTTCATTTC